AAATAAATATGCTAAGTTGCTAAGTGCTAACTACTTATAAATATTAAGCCCGACAGATGCAGGAATCTGGGTCGTGGGATTTGCGATATCCGTAAAACAGGCCCATATAGGGCCGCAAATGGGTATCGACAATTATCACGTTAATATAATTAGTAATAACCAATGACCAGATGGATTAATAGAATTAAATAACATTAACTGGTTTTTGATACTATCAAGATTTCAATAGCTACTTTAGATTTTTTTTTGGAAACGGCAAATATATTAAAGGAGGGAAAAACCTCAACTAGCAAGTAACTAGAAGAGGACCCAAAGCAACGTACAAAAGAGTTAGACGATTACAAGCCAATAAAAAGAGACACTAACCAATCGTCCCAATTACATATTACCTTTTTACCCCTATGTTTAAGCCAATAAAAAACCATTGTCTTAATACATTCAGTCCCTTGCATCAGTGAGATACCTTCCTTCTGAAATAATCGTTTGTTCCGGAACCGCCATAGATTCCATAACATTCCATTACATATGATAGCTAGCCGTTTCCTTCTCTTCGGACAACATCCCCATGCCGATATAACGTGAAGAAGATCTCCAGTATTCCTTATTAAACTATGATCCAGCGTTACACCACACCAGCTCATGATATTGCTTCTAATTCTGGACGCAAACGGGCAGTTGATGAGAACATGGTCTACACTTTCTTGTTGTCCAATACACACATTGCACCACAGTGAATTCACTTTAATACCCCTCATCTCCAAAGCGGCGGCTGCGGGTATTCTACCTCGTACAACTCTCCAAATGAAACATAACACCTTTATTGGGACCACCTTATACCATTGTATTGTCGTTATGCCCGTAATAGAGGTAGTAAGTTTGCCAATAACCTTCCTAACCTTCCTAACTGTGTACGAACCATCACCCGTTAACTTAAATCTACAATGATCATCTCCCGGAGTTAAACGAGTACCAGAGATGTCATTGGTTAGTGCTTGCACATCTGGTCCTAATCCAAAATCAGGGGGGTGATACTTCCAATTCCAAGAGATGGTTGCTTCTGAAATTCTGTCAGCAACAAAACACTTTTTTCTATTTTCAAGCTCAAACAGGTGAGGATATTTGGCTTTTAAGTTCCCAGAACCTGCCCATGAGTCGTACCAGAATAGAGTTTCCTTTCCGCCCTTTACCACCTGTTTGAACAAATCATGAACTCCCAATCCGTACTTTAACATGTCCTCTTTAATACGCCCAATGTTGATCCATACCCCACTGCCATTCTGTCGAGATAAGTATTCGAAGGGCTTATTCGACAGATTGTGAATCCCGTGAATTATCCGGGCCCAGAGAGAGTTCTTCTCGTTTTTTAACCGCCACCACCATTTCACGAGTAGCCCATAGTTTAAAGATTGTATCGATCCTACACCCAATCCGCCATCACTTTTATCTGCCATGACTTTATCCCAAGCCACCCAATGTATCTTCTTCCTATCATCACAGCCACCCCATAAGAAAGTTCTTCTAATTTTCTCCATCTCGTCTATTACACCTTTCGGGGCCTTAAATAATGATAAGTAGTAGGTGGGCAAATTACCAAGAACTGACTTTTATAACGTTAATCTACCACCAAACGAGAGGGTTTTGGCCTTCCAGAGAGAAAGTTTGGAGTGGAATTTCTTAATTATGGGCTTCCAATTTCTTATGAGATTCATATTGGCTCCCACCGGAACCCCAAGGTAGTCGAAAGGGAGAACTCCAGCTTCACACCCCAACAAGCTGGCCCAATTTTTAGTTTCTTGCATAGTAGCGCCAATACCAAAAACTCTTGATTTATAAAAGTTTACCTTAAGGCCCGATGATATATGAAAACATCTTAGAATTCGTGCAAGGTTTTTGAGATTATCTCGAGACCACTCACCAATAAACAACGCATCGTCTGCATAGAATAAGTGAGATATGGTTGGTCCATTTCTATGGATTTGAATCCCTTTGAAAATCCCTTTCTCACAAGCAGATTTAAGAGCTACGTTTAAGCCCTCCATGGCGATAATAAATAAGTATGGTGAGAGAGGATCCCCTTGCCTAACTCCTTTGGATATAGAGAATTCTTTCGTTGGAGAGCCATTAATGATAACAGATGCCCTAGACGAGATCAAACAACCCCGAATCCACATCCTCAATTTGTTCCCAAACCCCATCTGTGCAAGGATCGAATCTAAATATTCCCAATTCAATGAGTCGAATGCTTTGTCGAAATCCACCTTGAAGAGAAGGACTTTTTTCCGGATCCGCTTAGCCCATGAACAAATCTCATTAACCACAAGGGGGCCGTCAAGTATACACCGCCCTTCCACATATGCCGACTGGACATCATCAATTATCCCACCAATGACAGTCTTCATACGAGTGGAAAGTAACTTGCTTATGATCTTACTTAAACATCCAATAAGGCTTATCGGACGGAAGTCATTCAATGACAGTGGGTCCTTGATTTTAGGAGCAAGCGTAATGAAAGAAGAGTTACACCCACGAGATAATGATCCAAACTCTTCAAAATACCTCACAAAATTCACCACGTCGTATTTAATGATGTCCCAGAATTTTTTAAGAAACTTAAAGGTATAGCCATTGGGACCTGGGGCTTTCTCGCTACCACATTGCCAAATAGCAGCTTTAACCTCCTCCACACTGAATGGAGATTCGATTCTGATGGCGTCCATCATTGAAATTGTTTTGAACAGCGGGTTGAAGAGTTTAGGTCTAGAAACATGATCTTCAGTGAATTTTTTCTCGTAGAATCTATATACTTCCTCTTTAATCTCGTTAACGTCGGATGTCCAACGACCGTTAATTGTGAGACCATGCAGAAAATTCCTCCTGTTTTTACTGTTGATGTAGCCATGAAAAAATTTACTATTTTCGTCCCCATCGACTATCCATTTAATTCTAGCTTTCTGTTTTAGATCCATAGCCTTCAACTGCTCCAACTCCGTTATCTTTTTAATCCCAATGTTCCAATTATTCACCTCCACAGTAGTGAGTGGTCTGGATTCCGCAAGCTTCTCTAGATCATTGACCATATTCTTTGTTTCTGTAAGTACCTTCACTTCTTTTTGGCTCACTTCCCTCCTCCATTTCTTAATAGAATCCTTTAAAAATCTGAACTTGGCAGCCAAATACATATCTGGAGTACCGAAACCCACAAACCGGTTCCAAGCATCAATTACGACCTGATCAAAATCCTCACTTAATAACCAGGAATTGAATAGTTTAAACGGAATCGGACCAAAGTCAGATGCAGCAGTAAGTAGCGTGATGGGGCTATGGTCTGATAACTCCCTCGGGTGGGCCGTCACTGCACAGAGGGGAAAAGAATTAAGATATCTCGAGCAAACCAAGAATCTGTCAAGCTTACTGAGTTTTGCATCCACGCGACTCATAAACGTGTATTTTTCCCCACCAATGTTGAACTCCTTTAAATTCGCCTCCTGGATGAATCTGTTAAAGGCAAGAGCACTGGAAGGGCAAAACTTTGAGTTGCATCTCTCACCTGGATTTCTAATAGCATTAAAATCCCCAAACATAACCCACATTCCTGGCTTTTCATTTTTGATTCCTATTAGTTCTTTCCATAACTTCTTTTTATCTGACAAGGATTGCGGACCGTAGACATTTACCATGTTCAGGTTTTCCGCGATGTTCTTGCATTTACCAATTACAATAAGAAAGTGTCGGTTCTTTATCACCTCTAATTTTTAAAAAACCCTGGTATCCCATATGGAGATGAGACCTCCAGATCTCCCATTGGAGTCGACACCATCATAATCATAATCATTTGAATCCCAACATCCTTTTACATTAATGTTTGTGAAGTCAGATATCTGAGTTTCTTGGAGCCCAACAAAAGTAGCTTTGTGATGAGTCTTCAGCCTTTTTACCCGATTCACCTTCTCGTCTTCACCCACACCCCTTACATTCAGTGATAAGAAATTCATTGCTTAGGGATACAATCACCCCTACCACCCACAACCTCAGCCATAATTTGATTATCGGCCTCCATTTGAAATCCAATTTCTGTCCCGATACCCACACTTTGTGTAATTTCATCGGAAACGGACTCTACTGATCCCTCACTGCAGTTCTTATCCGACGTAGAGTGTATTGGATTCCTATTGAGATCGAGCGATACACCAATATTAAGAGATTGAGACTCATTACCATGATTATTGTTGTTGATTGTTGGTATAGTGGCAATAGGGAGCGAGCGACTACGGACTCTAACACATTTTCTTTTTTTTATCTTTGCTCCACTACTACTGTGTCCGGTGCTGGAAAACGAATCTCCTCTTTGGGCTGTGAATATATTTTGGGCTGGAGCGATATCGTTATGAGAGAGTCCATCATAACCTTGGGGCACCGGATTGTTAATAGGCCCAATTTTAATTTGATCAGGTCTCGCCTTAAGGCTATCCACGTCAACTGCGGTTCTATTCATTAAGTCCCTGTTTGTCTCATCATTTACCATTCTGTGAGGTATTCCAAACGCCATATTCACATCTGTGGGTCCAGAATTAATGCTATCAAAGACAGGTTCATTGCGTTGGGACCTTACCATCGTGGATTCTCTGACCGTCGCGTTTACATTCCCGAGATTCCGGGGAGACTTTACAGTTCTATCACGACTGTTCGACTTCTCCAGTTGCTTCACCGGTGTTGCATCCAACCGGAATTCTCCTTCCTCAATTTCGTTATCATCTTCCTGCATCCGTGTTTCTGATACACCCTCTTCCTTGTCCTCGTCATCACTCGATTGCGAGTTCCATTCTTCTGCCACCTTATCGAATGGGCACGACTTAAATGGCGACCAATCATCTGTGTACTCGACCACTCCGACGATATGTATTTCACCATTCACCTTTATTTCAACTTCTTCATTGATCCATTTCTTTATTGATGTGATTATTCCGACTTTGCCCATGGATAGATCTCTCCTATTATGGATGTTATCGAAAGGTTATGTTCCCAAATCTACTGGCAATACGGGAGAAGTTATCTTCATCCCAATATTTTAAGGGAACACCATTAATTTTTAGCCATGCCAATCTTACGTAACTAGAATCCGTTTGTTCGCCAAGTATCATCCTCTTAAACCATTCCTGCCACCTGCTTTTGTCTTCGAGAAACTCACGGGCATCCTTTGATGAATCGAATGTAATGGCAACTCTCATACCTCCAAGATATTTAGTTCCTTCGTTCATGAGAGTAGGTGCAGGTAAATTGGCTATATGATCGAGGCTATGGGCTTCTCCAATCAGCGTGCACTTCCTTATCCAATTGTTCATGGTAGTTTTTGGATTAAGAATGATGGGGGGAGTTCTTCTAAGATGAGATTCATTCGTACCTGATGCCACTTGCGCAAAAGTTCTGGAGTCTCTAATGCCAGACCCCGAGATGAATGTTGCCTGCGGATTATTATGTCAACCCGTTAATGGTCCCCTGGTGTACTTATTATCCTTCTGGTATTTGGCCAAGTTCGTAGAGAGTGTCGTGCCCCTTACTCGGACCCCCTGAAATGCAGCCTCCATGGCCTTTACATCCCTCACACCATCATATCTAATGAACGCAAAGTTCTGCTTGCGTTGATTCTTCCTTCCACCAATATATATATCTGCTACAAGGCCAAAACTGTCGAAGGATTTGCGTAACTCCATTTTGCTTGTTCCATCGTGAAATCCTGATACGTAGAACGTGGTCACATCTTCTTTAGTGCCCTGTCTGTTTGTGTACTTGCTGCGTCTCACCTCCATCCACCCATCACCGGTATCCACCATAGTTAATCTGGTTCCAACAAAAATATTAGTACAAGGAGAAACAGCGATGGTTGATGATGTGAATCTTCATATGAAAAATACTCGATCTATTTGACCATTTTATGTTTGAATTTGATTTACATATGGCGAATGCATTAAAACTAACAAAAAAACTGGTAAAAAAACAAAAGTCAAATACATGTGTTGAATACATTAAAAATCGTACACATTATCATTACATATAATCCTCTAAATTAGTACACTAAAAATATAGAAGTTGTTATTGTCATAATATAATTTTGAATAAATTACGCAAATAGTCTCAAATCAGGTTTGATACAGACTAGTGTATACATGAGACTTCCAACAACACTTAAGTATGAAACTATACTCATGTACTTCTTTTCCATATCAATAGTTGTTACTGTATTTTGATCAAGATTAAGGTTTTCCGCCAAAAAAAGTACCAACTGGCTTGACCCGATTGAAATAGAATTACTACAGGACTTTCTTAATGTACTTTAATTGAGAAATTCGTAACTAGTTCCCGAGTTTAACAAAAGAAAAGAAGAGAATAGAAAAGAAAGTCATGAGTGAAAAGAAGAGAAAGGAAAGGAAAACAATATTTTATTTTGTGTTCCCGAGTTGGAGAAAAGTGGAAGGAAAATGAATCATTTTGTTCTTTCTTTCCAAATCCTCCCAAATCCGAAGGAAAGTTAGGAGGGAAAGTGATCCTCCCATTTCCCCCCACTTCCTTCCACTTCTATCCTTTAATGAAACTCGGGAACACCAATTTCTTTTATTTTCTTCTCATTTCCACCCATTTCCTTTCCTTTCTCTCGTTAAGTTGAACTCGGGAACTGGGTGTAATTGTTCTGCTCTTTATCCCTTCTAGCCTCTATTTCCTAATATCTTCTTTGCAGCTCTCAAATCCTTTATTTTGAATCACTCTTCAGAATCACCATCAAGTTATTTATTCTAGTCATATCCTTGGACGCAATGAGCATGTCATCAACATATAGCAACATATATGTAGGAACCAAGGGATAATCCCTTTGATTAAAACATAGTTATCAAACTGGTTTCGAATGTACCCATGCGAAATCATAATTGAATCAAACCTCTTGTACCATTGCCATGGAGACTACTATACATGGACTTCTTCAACAAACCCTTCTGGATGGGACATGTAAATCTTCTTATCCAAAATTCCATGAAGAAATGCAAATTTGATATCAAGCTATTTAAGCTCCAGATTAAGTGCACTCACCATTGCCAAATAACCCAAATCGTCTTGTGCTTCATGACTGGTGAGAACACCTCGTGATAATCGATTCCTTCTTTCTGAGAAAACCATTTTGCCACCAACCTTGTTTTGAATATAGCTTGTTCAAGTGTAGGAATTCATTCCTTTTTCTTAAAGATCCACTTGCATCCCATTGGTTTTGATCCTTTTGGTAATGGAACAAGATCCCACGCCCCATTCTTTTCTCATTCTTTTCTAATGATTGCTTTTCTTTATTCATTGCCATTAATCAGTTAGCTACTTCTTTACTCGCCGCAACCTCCTTGTAAGATTGAGGCTCTTCAGTGTGAATGTCTTCTCCGGTTGCCAGAAAAATGAAATAGAGTCAATGTCATATGAATTAACACATTCCACATATCTACAATGCTTTTGAATGATCCTCTTCAACCTTCTCCTTGTCAAAGATTTTTGACTCATCTTCCTTGTCGGCCTCAACATTACTAGACTCATTCTCCATAGGCTATTCTTGGGTTACATCTTGTCTAGATATTTCACTACTGGCTTGTTGTTTTTTATTTATCACGCTCTATGTGGAGTTTGTATTGTAAACATGCAACATCTAATTTTCTAGGTATTTGCTTTTGACCCTTGAGTTATGAATTGTTTGCAAGATGGGTCCTTAATGGCAATTTCGTGATTTTTGGACCCAGCTTGTGTACGCTGGGCGTACCTAGTCCTGTGCCAGTACGCTGTGTGTACGCTAGTACGCAAGTGTTTTAGACCAAAGCCCTAATATTTAGGTTTTGTGCACTATTTAAGCATCATTATAGTCCCAAGACCTTTCCCTTTATCAACCTCCATCCAAAGATAGACCTTCATTGCAAACCCTAGTCTATTTTGAGCATTTTGAGCTTTTGGAATGAGTTGTGGGGTTTTCTTGTTTGTGAAAAAATATCTTCAAGGAGTAGGCTTTGCTCTCAAGACTTTGGATCCATCATCTTCTTGCTATAATATTGCCATATATAGAATCCTTTTAAGTTGAATCTTTTCAACATAACATCTATATATGTCCTTTGACTAAATTTGATTAAAATTTCTCAATCCAAACTTTTAGATTTCGAAAAGAAGTATATAGATTCTCTCCCTTAATTATAGCAAAACACCTTTTCAACCCCTGCAACTTTGCAAAGTGAAACTTTTGTTTTTCTATAATTAATATTGCTAACATGCAACACTTAAAATAACAATCATGCTCCCACTAACATGATAATTATATCCACACCAACATAACACTTACGCTCCCACTAGCTTTGACATGTATTCAGAAATCTGCTAAACTTCTAGAAAACAATACTTATTTATTTTCAAAGATCATATTTCTAATACGATACGCTTCGACAACTCATACACCTTTCCATAGATAGTTCACATGTGTGTCTAAACAATTCTAGAACTTTTCGCAATAAGTCTCTAATGTTCAAACTAATTGCCAAATCTCACAATTCGAACTATGAAGAGGGATGCCGTAGTCATAATCGAATTTTAGAATGCAATTTACATAATCACTATCTCATCAAAATCTTCCTAGTGAAAGCGTTTCCTCACAATCATTTTCATGAAGGAGAGAAACCTTATGACACTTAGATTTTATGGTGTATGTGCTCATATCCATGAGAATTTGTCATAACCATAATCATAAGATAATGTTTGTGACAAATCCAAACTCTTATGGACAGAAGTTGTTCATTCTTAATTTCTTGCCATCAAGGGTCCCACCATTGCTTCCAAGTTATTTAACAGCTCACCTATACTAGTCAATGTACTTTCATTGAACAAGGTGTTTGCCTTTATGCAGTCTATTGAGAACTCGTAGAACTCATATGCATGAGTAACTTTACTGGAATGGCACAGAAACAAGAATATGTCAACACGATAGGTTACAAACCTCAAGTCGGGTGCTAGTGTCTAATAGGTTTACTCTTGATTAGTTCTTGAACCTTTTCAAGATCGTTTAGACTCCCACTGACCTCTTGACATATAAGATTCTCTTGTCAAGAAACATTTCTTGACAAACAAATATTCAAGAGTTAGTGCGGATTTTTATCAAGACAAACATTACACACAATTGGTCTTAGTTGGCCTTTGTCCTATCCAATACATCACAACTTACCAATTTCAAACGAGCAATAGTAACAAAACAATTTTCTACTCCACATTTGATGAGTGTGTTAAAAACTTACTGAAGACGTGTCACTCAATATCACAATCTTGGAGTACGATTCTAAGACTTGATTTTGGAACGAAGTATGATTCACCTATTGATTTAACCATTTCAACAATTTCCGATTCCTCTTCTTAGCCATACTAGTGCACTAAGTTTACATAGAGGATCAATTGTGATATGGATTCACAATCAATAAGACGATCATAAAACATCATACTAAATTACTCTCCCATCTTTTCAGATTGGAGAAACTTTTATCTTTCTGCCTAATTGATTCTTCTTATTCGTTCTGCTATTATTGAAACTTTTCAATAATTCAGAATTATACTTAATCTTGTAAGCATAACCATATTTACTAGACTTTTAGTAAATCATGATGAATAGTCTCATTGTTATTTATGGTGGACTTAACTAGTGCACAACATTGTGTTCTAGTCCTTTAGTCCTTCACTTGACTCACATACTTGTGTGATCAAGGAATTAGTCTTAATTTCCTAAGTACCAAGATTTCCATACATCACATGATTCAAATCATATGATTCCAAGCTTCTTTCCAATTGAGACTTGGGCGATGAGAATCTTTCCTTACTTAGAAAAATTATGACATTACCATAGATAACATAACTAAGAATCACATCCACTTAATATTGCTTACAATAGAAACACACAAGCATCAATTTTCATAAATAACATTGCAAGGAGATATAAATAAGACAAAACTCAAATTTTATTTTATTTATAAAAGGTGCGGAAAAAACTTGTCCTTACAATGTAATTTCATATGAAAATTATGTTATTTCATATTCCTAAACAATCTATCATAACTCTAAAAGTAGCAGCTCCAAAAATCCGATCATCGAATCATGCGATCGAAATCCATTTCTTCGCGATCAGACTCAGCTCACTTCTTCCTTTAAGCTTCCTTTCTTTTCTTCGATCCTACAAAATACCAAAATGTAATCTTATCACATCATGTATTAAGAATCTACAAATAGGAACTTAATAGAATTAGATAGTGGATTTTACCTGAAGCAGAGTCATACATCTTGACTCTCCCATCTCTTAGATCTCTCAGGTAGTCAGGGAAGCTTCGTCACCAATGCCCCTTCTTTTGGCAGTAGAAACATATGGATTCTTCTGGAATGGTACACGAGACTATCTCAGAATCAGCCTTTCTCTTACGTAGAGAAAACTTTTCTGGAATTCCAATGTTGCCATTGCCCATAGAAGGTTGGGATATTGATTTACCAGACAAATTTGCTCGACCAGTGCGCCAAATCATTGCTGATTCAGCAACAATAAGCAAATAAGTCAAAATCAATGAGGGTCACGTCGTGGTCCATCATATAATACTCTCTTATGAACTCACTATATGATTCGGGAAGTGACTGAAGAACCAAGTCAATGGCCAACTTCCTTGAGACATCGACACCTAACATTCCCAATCTATCAATATGCAACTTCATATCCAAGACATGAGCACATACAGAGGTTCCATCTTTGTTTCTTTTTGCCAATAGGGCTTGAGTGACCTTGAACTTTTCAAGTCTT